TATGTACGGACCGCTAAGCGGTGTACACTCGGCACGCACAGACTCCGATAAAGAACTGGTTCTTCGTGTCTGATCCATGGAGCTGGTCTTCGTTCGTCTACCGTATCCGTGGTCCTATGTACGGACCGCTAAGCAGTGTACACTCGGCACGCACAGACTCCGGTAAAGAGCTGGTCCATCGTGTCTGATCCATGGAGCTGGTCTTCGTTCGTCTACCGTATCCGTGGTCCTATGTACGGACCGCTAAGTAGTGTACACTCGGCACGCACAGACTCCGGTAGAGAACTGGTTCTTCGTTCTTCCCAAGTCTCGTGAGTACTGGTCTCCTGGTTTCGCAGGAGACGTTCGTCATCCCAACTATGAGAAGGAACAGGTTTATCCACGTCGGGATTCCCTATTCTTCGTTCGTCCTTGTCGCGGTCCTACTAATCTTCTTACTTCGAAGAAGACGTTCGGTCAACCAACGATCGCAAGGAGGAACAGGTGTATCCACGTCGGGATTCCCTGCTTCGTCGTCCCATGCTCGTGGCCCTACTAGCCTTCTGCTTTTGCAGAAGGTGTTCATCGATCCACGGGAAATGGGAGGAACTGGTTTATCTTGCCGAGGTTCCCTTTGGTACGTCTAGCCTCCCCCACGTTCCTACTAACCTCCGCGTCGGGAGACGTTCGTCATACGCGGCGAAGGAAGATCAGGCATACCTCGTCAAGACTCCCTCTCTCATAGGATCTCGTCTCCCCTTCTCCCCATCTTTTTTTTTTTTTTTTTTTTTTTTGCTTCTTTTTTTTTTTTTTTTTTTTGAGGGAGGAAAATACGTTCGTCGGTTCCAAGAATAACCACAAGTGATGTCACACATAATGTCATGCGAAGGCGATGGTCACCCTCCTAAAGGGAGGGGTGAGCCCGATCGCTAACTCAAGAAGGTCGGCATTGGGAGCCGATATACAATGATCATAATGTCGCTGAGCAGTCGGTCCTGATAATGGAGATGACAATAGTGTCCGGTCAGGCCGATATATCCGAGCAACGGCTCTCATCCAACGCAGCGCGGGGATGAAACCGGTCTTCAAAAGATAAATATGTCGTGCCGAGAGACCGAACATAACATGATAGCGTCGGCAGTGAGAGGTCGACCTGAAAGAATCAAGCAATGGTCTTCGTCCGCGAGGGGCGGGGACAAGGCCAGTCTCCAAAAGATAAGCACGCCGAGCCGAGAGGCCGGTCGTGGTATAATGATGTCGGCAACGAGAGGCCGATATGAAAGAAATCCAGCAACGGTCTTCGTCCGCGCAGCGCGGGGACGAGGCCGGTCTTCAAAAGATGATAATCACGCCATGCCGAGAGGCCGGTCGTGATATAATGATATCGACAATGAGAGGCCGATCTGAGAGTGAGCACACAACGGTCCTCACCCACGGGGAGCGGGGATGAGGCCGATCTTCAAATATGGAAAGCACGCCGAGCCGGGAGGCCGGTCGCGATATAATGGTTTCGGCAATGAGAGGCCGATCTGACAGAATCAAGCAACGGCCCTCATCCACGAAGGGCGGGGACGAGGCCGGTCTTCAAAAGATAAACACGCCGTGCCGAGAGGCCGGTCGTGGTATAATGATGTCGGCAACGAGAGGCCGATATGAAAGAAATCCAGCAACGGTCTTCGTCCGCGCAGCGCGGGGACGAGGCCGGTCTTCAAAAGATGATAATCACGCCATGCCGAGAGGCCGGTCGTGATATAATGATATCGACAATGAGAGGCCGATCTGAGAGTGAGCACACAACGGTCCTCACCCACGGGGAGCGGGGATGAGGCCGATCTTCAAATATGGAAAGCACGCCGAGCCGGGAGGCCGGTCGCGATATAATGGTTTCGGCAATGAGAGGCCGATCTGACAGAATCAAGCAACGGCCCTCATCCACGAAGGGCGGGGACGAGGCCGGTCTTCAAAAGATAAACACGCCGTGCCGAGAGGCCGGTCGTGGTATGATGATGTCGGCAATGAGATGCCGAACATGATGTGGCAGTGTCGGCAATGAGGGGCCGATCTGCAATCCAGCAACGGCTCTCATCCGCGCAGTGCGGGGACGAGGCCGGTCTTCAAATATTGAAAGCACGCCGTGCCGAGAGGTCGGTCGTGATATGGTGTTGTCGGCAGTGAGAGGCCGACCTGAAGATAAGGATGGTCTCACGGCCCTCGGCCGTGATGGTCTCCTCTAGGCCCTCGGCCTCTGAATGATGGATGATCGTCTCACGGTCCTCCGCCGTGGTAGTCCACTCTAGACCCTCGGCCTCTAGGTGTTCTCCCTAGGCCATCGGTCTCTGGGGTGGAGATGCCCGCCCCACGGTTCTCAACCGTGGTGGTCTCCTCTAGGCCCTCGGCCTCTAGGTGGAGATGCTCGTCTCACGGTCCTCAGCCGTGATGGTCTCCTCTTTAGCCGGCCCTGCACGTCTTCAAGATTCGGGCCGAGCGTCTTCTAATCATTGCGCTCAAGCGCGTCGAGCGGCTTCGGCTGCGCAATAAGCATGGTAACGGGCCGCACGGCCCGACAATAAATATGCACACATAACCATCTGCATGGGTCATCGTGGCTTCCCTCTAACACCCACGATTACCGACCTATGGGTCATCGTGACCCTCGGCCCGGCTCATCGTGCGGGGTTAATGGACGTAGCAGCTCGCGGCGGGGCCAATTAGCAGCCCGCCGAACGTCACATAGAAATATTCACCGGTCCGTGAGTTTTCAAACTCAGACCCAAGTTGGTCGCACTACCCTCGAAAAATGAGGTTGAGCACTTCGGTGCCCCCGGGCCCCACAGGCCGCGTTTGGCACAGTCACTTCGCCTAGTGGCGCAGATGGTACTAGGGTACGATCGTCGCTCGGGCACTTGGTGTCGTGCGGACCAATGCGTAACCCCCCAATTAAAATGCGTCGTTGGGGCATCGCCCTTCTGGAGACGCTCGGATCGCTTAATCAAGCTGATCGAGAGTGGGCCAACAGGCCCACAAGAAATTAAATATTCAATAAAATGTTGGCTGAACCAACCATCACCAGAGCTTCGCTCCGCATCATTTAATTCGGGACATTTTTATCCCTAATAAATAATAGTGATGCACAGGTAGTAATAATAGTATTATCCTACCGTAAGTCATTCAGATATGCTCCGCTCGCTAATTAAAGCTGATCGGGAGCGGGCAACGAGCCCACAACAACCGGCCACTAATTAAAATGACGGTGAAAACTAGTTATCACTAGAGCTTTACTCATCTGAGCTTTGCTCGACATTATTTAATTTCGGGATACTTAAATCCCTATTAAACAATGGTGATCACAGTAGCAATAAAAAATACTGAAGTTTAATTAGCAATCAAGAGATTCAATACTTAGCTTCAAAGAGATGCTCGGCCAGTGGAGTTTTGTGGAGTCAGGTTTGCTCCCAATTGCCAATTTTGACTTGGTCAAAATTACCCCAAACCCTCCATTGACCAAGTTAAATGCCTGCAAGCTGGCTGCCACTCCCACGGTCAATATAGTAGTCCAACGCAGCTACTATACCTTGTTCCAGGTAGCCCATGAAGTGCACAGTACCGCAGCGGCTGATCCGGACTTTACCCCTTCCGCTTCTTTCCTCGACGTGGCCAGCTTCCATCCAAGTGAAGGGCACCTTTTTTGGAGAGGCCGATGGAAGAACACGTCCTCAACCAAAAGGCAAGCAGTTCGTGCTACCTCGCGACGGTGGTGGTGTTTGCCGTAGCGGAGCAAGGGCGGCCAGAGAAGCTAGTGTCCGGTGGAAGCACGACCAACTACCGAATATACATTTTCTAAGCTCGGAACCATCATTAATGGCGGAACCAAAGGAGCTCTCCATCGGCATATCCAGGTCGCGTCGGCCGAGTCGTCGTGGAAGCTCGAACGGCGACCGACCAGGTGGGGGATTGATCAACAGTTGGCCGGCGATGACGACGGCCGTGGGGTGACGCTCTGGTGGTGGCGGCGCTCCGGCGGCGGCGGTAAAACAGAGCAAAATCCAGACAGCCTAGATCTTCCAGAATCCTCGTTTCTCCTCTTCCTCCCGTTCAAATCAGTAGTCTTTCTTTTTTTGTTTTTGCTGGAATCAGTCCATTTTCATATGAATCTTTGAAGAACAACGGAAGAACACATGTAATCTTTTTGGACAGATTCCCACAGACGGCGCCAGTGTTGAGTTTAATCCAACACGATATAGTAAATATATGTATGAACACTCAGTTTTTACGTGGAAACCCGAAAGGGAGAAAACCACGGGACTTTTTAGGCTAATGTCCAAGCCCTCTCTTTCTCATTAGGACTCTCCTCACCATTACATAGTACATTTTGAGCTCCCATTCATGGAGTATTATCTAATCTAGAGAGCTAAAGGAAGAAGGAAAAAGATCCATAATATGGAGGCTAAGCTCCCTATTTATAGACAAAGGGAAAGGGTGCTCTCCACCCTAATGGGCCAAACGGGCCAATATCGGGCCTAATGGGCCGAAATGGGCCTAGCTGCTCGGGCTCCGTACTGGATAATGTCTTGGGCCCCTGAACAGTAATAGGCCGGGATAATATATCCCAACAATTCTTTTTATCCTTTTTACCTTATCATTTTTATGTATATCTTTTCTCTTTCTTATCTTTTTTTAATCATACCTTATTTTTAATCTTTCTTTTCCTTTTGACTCCAATATCATGTATCGATTCATGTTAGTTGACCCCAAAAACTTTTGGGACCAAGGCTTGGATGCTGTTGTATTAAAAAAATTGTTAAATTCATCTCAATGTAAATTTACAAAATATGATTTTTTTGTTCCAAAAAAATATGATTTTTTATAATATTTACTAAGAGGTGATTAAATATTTTTTTTATTTTCAAAGTCGTGTCTGGACAAGCATGATAGTCACTTTTGCAACTGCATAAGAACGGAGAAAGTAGTTCTATTTCCACATTCATCCACAAGTTTATTTCTTGCCATGGAAGTAAACTCACCAATGCCAAGGTGTGTATTAATACTAGCATAACGAGCTGTGCCAGTTAGATTTTTGTTTTCCCTGGGAATTGAACAGAGGAAAAAACATTTAATGACTAATGATCTATATTAAAAATCAAGGAAACAAAAAATAACCACTAATAATCTATATAAATCATATCCCGAAGATTAATATATCTCCAGACTCCACTCATTCAAGCCTTGCAAGCACACCTTTTTCACGCAAGGTGTTGTTTCTTTCTTTTTCTATCTTCCAGTTAATTATAACTAAACAAAGAAGACAGCCTAGGTGTAGGCTCAAATTGAGTAATTTTGTATCATTAGCAAGAAAGAATTGAATGCCAAACCTGTATGGTATATGTCTATCAGTATGGAGATCCTTATACTTTTTAGATTTCAAACTTTAAAAAACCATCTTACATGCGCAAAATTTAAAAGTCACACTAATCTTTACAACTAATAGCTGAAAAGCACCTGATTTGCTTTGCGACCTAATCCCATTAAAAAGTTGTCTGGCTTTATGTCTCGGTGTAGAAATCCTCTATTGTGACTATATTCAACTCTATTAATCTGATCATGAAATATAGACTAAAAACACAATAACAACAAAAAAAGTAACAGAAATGAGTGTGTATATAGACAATGTTGTGTACCAGCTGATCTGCAAGCATCAACACAGTTTTCAGAGAGAACTTCCTATTGCAGTAGTTGAAGAGATCTTCCAAACTTGGACCAAGAAGATCAATGACCATAACATTGTAATCCTTGTCAACTCCAAACCATTTAAGATTAGGTATACCAGCTTCACCAAAACACCAAAAAATAGACCAATTGAGTATGTGTTGGTTCTTTAACATGATTTAAGCAAACATTTCAATTTTACTTCATTGAAAGGAAATGCTTTATATTTTTTACGGAGTATTTGTCATTAACTACGTATAAACTATTAATATGAATCCCACTTGTAATATTATAGGTCCAATGCTTATAATGAATCAAGCAAAAGAAACAAGAAAAGGATAGCGGGAGAGCATACTTCCTCCCTGAAGAAGGGAATATATTTTTGATTCATAGTGAAGCTGTGGATGTCTAGTCCTGACTGGTTCCTGGAAAATAAAGTAATGAAAAAATCATGTCAAAAAAACAAAGTAACCAACCTATCTATTTTAAAAAACTTGTGTGATAAACTTGCATGAACCAATTACCAAGATCAGCAACGGCTAACTAAAAAATCTGCACACAACTTACAGTACAGTATGTATATACTGTATAAATAATCAACATTACAAACATTGCAAATGCATAAGTTCAAATATTGGAGTGTTCTACCTAATTAAGACACAAGTGAATCTTATGAAGAAAAATAGTAATACTATATTTAAATTTGGAAGTTTTCCTAACAGTAAAATGCTTAGCTCAAACACCAAGATGAACAAGGATTAAGAAATCACATACTCCCTCCGTCCCGCTATTAACTTTCTACTTTGACCTACACACATATTTAGGAAATAAATTTGACTTTACTGTTTAGACACTGTTTGACACTGTTTAGCACTGTTTTGACACTGTTTGGCACTGTTTTGCACTGTTTGACACTGTTTTGATGTAGGATAACTTTCCATTTAGGGAAATGAGAAGATGATTTTGGGACGGCCCAAAAAGGAAAGCAGGAAGTTAATAGCGGGACGGATGGAGTACTTCGTATTTGATTGTGTAGGTTTTTATTATTAAAGAAACTGCTAGAAGGAACTTGTGTTAACAAACAAAGTATGTTTATTTCTCGGGAAAGAGTACGTTTCCGGGAAACTCTGGGAAACTCTTTGGAAACTCTCGAAATAAGCCTTTTTTGAGTAAAAGTTGACGTTTCCCGTTTCTCGTTTCCTCATGATTTTTGCATTTCCGTGCAACATAGCGGAGTATAAAATATAATTAGATTTTTCACTATTAAAAAAGATACGTAGTACGTATATGTTACGCAATATTTTATAATTGTGTATTTTTGGGGGGATGATTCGTTTTCTCTCTTTAGGGTTGTCACAAGGCAAGCCGATAGTTTGGATTGTCCGCTATCGGCTCGAGGAGCGGGGCTGGTTTCCGGTCATCCGTTTTTAATTTGGGCATAGAGGATACGGAAGGGGAGGCGACAAAGGAGGCAAGTGAAGTTTCTGGTTCGGACCGGCAGTTTCGTGGTGTTTTGACGGAAGAACCGAGGAGATGTAGCAGTGCATGCACAGAGCGACAAAGGGCTGATCAAGGGAGAATACAGATCGGTGGTTCGTCCCCCTCCTGAAACGCCGCCTTGGATTGATCGAGAAGTCGGGGTTTGGAAGATGATTTTTCAAGAGAACAGTCAGAAAGAAGTTTGGAATATTTGTCAGTTATTCTATTTTTTATGTTCTTATTTTCATGTTATGTTTGCTTACGGTGTTTCGTTTTTTTAGGACTTTAGTTTTAGGTCTACAATAATGATTGTCAATTCTGCTAGATATTATGTCATTAGAATGATCTATATGACCAGTGATTGTTGTGTCACATCTGCTTGGTGGTTATCGATTCGTATTGCTCTTACATGGGTGATCGTCTCATAGTATAGCCGTATGGTTGATTATGATTGTTGGTAAGGGATTGTTTTTGGCAGGGTTGGTCTTTTTGAGTTTGTTGTAACGATCTTTTCCCTAATGATTTTAATATAAGAGTTGGATTTGATGATCAAGAAAAATTGTGTATTCATTTTCTTTTTAATTTTTTATCTTTTTTTTTTAAAAAAAATTGTGTGTTTTTATGATGAAAATGTATAATAGATAATAACTGAAATGAAAAATTTTCTAAATAGAAATACTTATGATTTAGGCACACGTTATATAGGATCAACTTTAGGGCAAAGTATAACATATAAACAATACTCTTATGATGTAACTAGGAAATTGATCGCGCGTTGCGCGAATATTATATGCCCAACACATTTTTTATGAATTTTGTAAAATGTTCTCAGCATTAGTATTTTGAGAACAAATTGATCGTGCGTTGCGCGTTGCTTTTAGAGCACAAATTCTAAAAGCAACGCGCAAATTCTAGAGCACAAATTCTACATAATTTTTATTTTATTGGGTTTTTAAATATACAGTTATTTTGAGAACAAAATGTATGTATTATGTATAAGTTTATTTATGAATAAGAAGGGAGTATCATGAATATAAGCAACTACTGACGGTATTATTTGTAGCTCATGTTTAACATTTTGCTTAAAATTGCAGAATCTGTATGATTTGTTTTGGAGATTCACGTTGATTTTTAGTCTTTGCGGTTAAAATGAGCATAATACAATTCATACACAATAGACCAGCAAATACATAAAAAGTCTTGAAAGTTCTGTCCCTACAAATTGGAGTAACAAACACCCAATATGATTAAATTCTTAAATAAGACATATACATACGCTCCCAAAGTCATAGTTCTTGACAAAATTATTCAATTTAAATTATTTGGTCTGCGATCTCACATGTAGAACTATTCTATTCGGGCATATAGACAAACATGTAGTGGGTTTGATTTTTTTTAAAATCTCTAATGTTTTTATTTTGTTTTCAAATCGAAGAAAACAAACTACTTTCAGGTGAGCAATTTGTACACCAAATTGATGAGATGTGTTCAATCCATCTGCCAACAAACATTTACATGAAGTTGAATGAGAGCCCGCTTGGTAACCATTTACATGTGTTCAATCCATCAGCAACGGTTTAGTGTAGAAGCCAAAATTCAGAAGTGTGCTATTGTGTATTAATTTGCTCAAGGTGTATAACTCAACACCGTTATGGCGTTATACAAACAGTATAACACCGTAAGTGATATAACTCAACTGGATAGTAGCAGTACAACCTCAGTGACAAAGTGTACAATATGATAAAGCATGAAAGAGCATTTAATATGAAAAACTGTCCTTTATAAGATAGGTTAAGATGTTTTACTGTAATTATTCTTTAATTCATTCTTGTTTTATCAATTACGGAGTATATACTAGCTACCTAATTACTCAACCCTAATTAGATGTTTATCAATCATCTTCTTCCGGATTAGGAATTCGTTTCATCATATATCATATCAATTTTAGTATGTTGTAGATTGTAATTGCAATTCTCCCAAAGTAACTGTCTTGAGAGTCAGTCGCCAATATAAACTTAAGCAGGTAATTATATTTTTCTCGATCACCAGTCATAGAGTGATGACCCAACTTGACAATTGTTCTTTGTTATCGCATTTGTTCTGTTTTATGCTAGTTCTTTCCTGGGCACTGACGCTCCAGTATGTTTTGTCTCTCTCAATGTAAAGAGTTGTTTTGTTCTCCCGACCAGCGCGCTTCGCCTGATTTTTATTAATTGGGATTAGGAGCAATGTTTTGCAATTGAAATTGATGGGTAAGGATGGAGTTTACGACAAAGATTGTTCGCGGTACGGTGGTCGTTGGAGAAAGTTGTTGAAGATGGAGATGGGTGCGGTGGCTGGGTGCTGGGGAAGGTTGGAGGGGGGGGGGGGCTAGGGGTGGGGGAGGCTGGAGACGGGTTGGGGGCTGGAGATGGGCTGGGGAGGGTGGCTGCCGAAGAAGGGCTGAGTGGGGTGGTCATTGACGGGGTGGTTGGTCACTGCAGGGCAGCGGCGAGTCACCGACGGTAGTTGCAGAGGTAATTGTCGGGAGTGTCAGTGGTGTTGTGGTGGTGGGTGGCCGTGGCAGCAGTTTTGGGGCAGCGAGCACTACAATATTGTTTGAAAATGATTCACTTGGTGGTTGTAGGCGGTGTAACTTATTGAGTCTGATAATTGTAATTGGTTAATTAATCGAATAATTGAAATTGGTCGGATCGAGTCGGGTCAGGTAAGTGTAACTGGTCGGATCAGGTAAGTGTCACTAGGTGAGTCAGGTAACCGTAATTGAGCGGGTTGAAGAACTGTATCTAATTGGGTTAATTCAAGTCACTATCGATTTTAGGGGTAATTCAGTAAGTTCAATGCATAATAGTCACATTTTCACAAATTTAAAAGAAAGGTCACTTTTGGTTTATGGCTATTTTATTAATAATTTGAATTATGGAGTGGAAATTAAAAGTGGTCTTGTATTTGTTATTTGTTGATGTAGAACACGATTGCCTAGAAAAATGCATTGAAAATTTAGATGGTGTTTGGATTTTTTTTTAAACTGCTTCAACTTCTTCAGGTAGCATAAACAGATATTGAAGTGTTTAGATTAAAGTGCAGAAATATTTATGGGTGCTCCAAATTTTTCATAGAAGCAGTTTTGTAGAAGCTGGGAGAGATCAACTTCTGATAAACTGATTCTGTTTCTGCTTCTACTTTTAAAAAAGAAGCAAAAGCATAATTAATTGCATACACCATGTTACACAATAGTTGCAAGTAGACCTGTTCATGGTTCGAATCAAAAGTCAAAACTGAAATCGAAATTGAACAACTGTGAACGTTCCGAATTTCGGGGAAGCGGATCCGGAACCGCAAAGTATGGGTTCCAAAACAGGAGGCTTCGGGTCCAATCTGATTCGGTTCCGGTTTCATGTTTTTTACTGGTATTTATTTTTTATATTATTAATTTATTTAATTTTTTAAAAATAAGTTAGGTATACATAGCATGTAATAAGATTATTCGAATGAAAGAGATCCCAAAAAATATTAGTACAATTAATATTTTTTTTAACTAAATGCAATAGTTAGATAATTAATAATAAGATTGTTAATTTATTAGTAACTAATAATCATTATTTTCATATTTTTTTATTTTTATTGTTGAACAACTATAATTTTACTACTATT